ATGGCGAAACATACAATCTCAGATTGAAAGACGGAAATGCATACAATGGCGAAACATACAATCTCAGATTGAAAGACAGAAATGCATACAATGGCGAAACATACAATCTCAGATTGAAAGACAGAAATGCATACAATGGCGAAACACATACAATCTCATATTGAAAGGCGGAAACGCATACAATGGCGAATCTTATATGGTGCCAGTCACTGTGGTTGCATTGAATAAAGTTATCTTAACAGTGATTCAATAGTCACCTGCTCTCCCGTGACTGTTGACTCTGACCTAAATCCAATCAGGAGTATTGTTAAAAAAAATGTTATCAGAGGAGTGTGTGGCGAATTATAAGACCCTATCTTCAATTTGGAAACTCCCCACCAGTAACGAGGAACGGGACCTCCATAGGTTAATCTATTATCCATCGGCTCTTACTTGCCTGGCGTCGCGCGCGCGAGTTTCGAAAATGTCATGTATCTCACACGTCGTCGTTCCCGATTGCGACTACCGACGTTTCGAACAAATCACACTTGCAAACCCTCACGTTTTTGAAATGAACCTCGTCAAAGGTCAACTTGAAATGGGCTCAAGTCCAGTCTGCCTCGAAACCGGTGTGTTGCCTTTTACTAGTTATTGAGTTTGAACGCTGGTGAGTTTGCTAATAGCATTAATGCTGGTGAAACCGTAATCAGCTAAAAAAGAATAAGACAAATTGCAGAATGGGCGACGCTAATGGGGCACGATATGGTAGCACGTGGTATGTTTATATAAGTTGCCGCGCTCCTTCGCTTTACGCTCGAATATCACATTTCCTTTGTTATCCTTCATTCAGGCATGTTTTACACTGCCTACTGGGACGTGCTAAGTCCTGATAGTTTTGCCATTCTCCCCTCCAGGTTTTAAATGCTGTAAAAATGGCTTCATATTAGTATCGCTTTATTTTAATTCCAATTTTGTATATTGCAGTTGGAATGCTTTATCTGACGAACAAAAGAAACAAGCGTTTCCACCGATTGCGCCAAATTATATTGTAGAATTTACGAATCCTCATGTTCTTCGCTGAATTTGAGTCTTATTCTTGATATATAAGTCATGGTGATGCTTATGGAAATAGACGCCAGAACTCTATCAGTGAATGGCAAGCTTTGTTCTTTTGGCAATCTCCTATTATATTTGATCTGGCGGTCTTGTTGCTTTTGTCAGCTAAGCATGATTCTCACTTTTTTTTTGCTTTTCTAACAACATATTGATAAGATACTGCATTTAGTGAATTAACATTTGTTTTGTCAATAAACTGAATCCTGTTCATCAGTCTTTATTCAGTTTTCTTACAAAATTATATTCTTCCGTTTTGTTGTTAACAGTCCACAGATATCATGGAGTAGTATTAAATAAATCGGCCTTCGAAATTCAATTTTTCTGTTCCTTGCAATCATTGCGATTGTAATATCAATTCGTTCGATACTGAATATATGTCAGAATTTGCTTCGAGCAAAGAAATACCCCCAAGTGTCAAGTTCCAAAGGCAAGAGCTGACTCGCGAATTCGATTCAATTATTAATCTAACTAGTTTGAGACGAGTGACGTTTTCTGATTAGTCAAAACACCGAGTCGGAGTCTGCCTTATATAATTCCCCTTCGATTCCGCGGGTACTAGTATGCTTACTTGGATACGCATAGGAGATATTCGTTAGGGAGTAGTAAATTATTACTAACAAATATAAAATTAGCATAACAAATGACATCGTTGTAGTAAGGGCAGCAATCTGAAGCTAAACCTGCTGGTGACAACCGGACCCAAAACCCAGTGAAATAAAGAAAGAAATGTATTTTTAAGAATGGGAAAGGGCCAGTCACTCTAGCAATTTTTCAGCCAAACCGGCATAGTCAAATGTTTGGTTTTGTTGCAGCATACCCCATTTTATCAACACCACTATGGCTTTAGCCCTGGTAATCTCTTAGCCTACTTTCCATATCAATGCAAGTTAAGAAATAAAGACCCAAGGACTGGTCTAGACAAACGGCTATTAATTATGAGTCACACACCCGTTTCGCCTTACCCCAGCCGCCCCAAACGCGGTATATCTCTAAAAAAGAAATCTATGATTATTCAAAGGGACGGCACATGACATTTACAAATAAAACATCCGTACACATGATCAATATTTTAATCTCTCATTCCCACCCCCTGAACCTGTCCCGGTCGCCTCATTTATCTAATGTTCTTTCTTAATCAATAATTGTGAGACCCTCTATCATAGTTAGCACCGCCTGCCTTTCTGAGTTGAGTTAAAATTTCAGACTCAATAAAGTCGTTTTTGTCGTGTGCAGTGATTTCAATTGCATACGCCTAATTGGAAAGCAGGGGGAATTTTGTGCGCAAATGAAAATCCAATCAGCATTCACGAGTCTAACACCTTGGCCACATCTCGTATATCACAATTCCTATACACCCAATCCAACCCGTACTTACATTCAACACCCTCTTGACATCGCTCACATGTACGCTTAACTTTGCCTTTCTCAAAACCTTGACTCGACTCCCAATCCATGTAACAAACACAAATTTGGTTCTCACGGATAATTCGTCATTAGATACGTTCATTCGAAGATATCCGAATGCTGCTTGATCTGGAGAGAGCTGTTCGGTAAATTCTTCTAATCCTCCAGGGCCTAGATTGTGAAGGGTTTAGTGTGATTGTGACAAGTGTAAGAGCATGGAAGGATGTTGCGCGAGTTGAGATATTGGAGGTACTTGTAATACAAAGTATGTTGCGATATAATTACCTTTCGCAGCTAAAATCAATTTGTCGGATTTCTCACTTTCATACTGGAGAATCAACCTATACCATAATAATCGAGAGTATGTAAGGGAATAGGAAGTCGATGAAAGTTGGATAGAACGTTAGGAAGCGGTATAATGATTGATATGAATAAAGAAGGTAATGAAACAATAACGGTAAAGGGGGGGGGGGGCTTATAAAATATAAGAACGACATATATCGACATAACCATGAATGCAATTCCATGTCTATTTTGAGATATGCTCCATTACGCTCCTAGCGTCAACCCAATTACAAACCCAATAAATCGCAGTTCTCCCAACAAACGCTACCAGTTTGTATCATTTCTGTCATCTCTAACTTCTTCGTATGTCTCCCTTATTACCGGATCCTCAACATCCGCCATTATATTGTCTAATTTTTGTTCCTTTGTATATATCTATCGTATATCTATCGTTCCTGCTTTTTGCTGACAGCAACAAAATACAAATTGTCATTAATGTTGGTAATGGACATAAATTAACTAATTACTATTATTGTGAACACTTGGCACACCTAACAAGCATACATCCAACAGTTGGGTATTTAGCCAGAATGTAAGTCGACAAGCCTGATAATGAGGCGAAATAATGCGAGAAGGATTCGAAAAGATTTGGATTACAGTAAAGATGAATGAAACTTGGTGCCTGAAAGGAAGAAAAAATATGCAAGTATGTGTGGGACTGGATTTGTGCCACATTAATCGTACCCAATTTGAATATTAAACATTAGCGATCTCGCAGTAATTGTTGTATCGTTCACAGTAACGCTGTTCTGCAATACAGTGTATACCTGTTAATCACAAATAGAAAATGCTCCTAACGCTTAACTTACCCGTACCTACCCAGTATTAAATCAAAAGTGTGAAAGGTTCAGAGATAGTGAATTAAAGAATTCAACGAGTTTATACAACACCAGAGGCTCAAGAGTTAGATAAATGCTAATATAACTTCCATAGCAGCACGTGATAATTAGACGCGGTTCTAGAATGGGAATTTAGGACTTGATCTATTGTAACGTAGAATTGGCATTGGCAAAAACGCTACTCTATGCGAGTTTTCGCAGTTGACTAATGCACGGAGCTAAATATCATGTCAGCAGCTGGCATTAAGCATTGCAGTAATTGGAAAATGCTTTAGCATATTAGGAAAAAGCAATAGCCTTGAGTAAATTAGAATAACCAGCAGCAAATTAATTGGAGTAGAAAATGCTAATAAAAGGAAAGATACAGCCTTATAAACATAAAGAAAACGAAAAGTCTCAATATTAGATAAGCTATTATACGAATTACATTTAGCGATAGGAAAAAGCTTTTTGAGATAAAACATGTTGGAATAAAGTTGTATACTTACAGTAGTTAATATTAATACTAAGCAATTGCTCAAATAGAGCTTTTCTCCGTATATTTCTTCAACAAAAAAATACCCTTAGCCCTAGCCATAGTTATGCTTTATACATTTGCTAATGGTAATTTACGTTTGAAAAAGAATTCCCAAGCCGACAGAACTTTGGAGGCTCTTTTCAAAATCTTAAATCGCTTCCCGATATCAGCTAATACGAAAAAATTTTTATGTCTTAAGGATGCGAATTAAAATAAGAACAATTATTCTAGTATTAAATTATATTGAGAAGTCTACAGAAATGATGCAGCGTTGGAAACAAGTTAAGCAAGTATTAGTTATAATTAAAGTTTAATGGGCGTCAAAGTTAGCTAGAATATGTACATGACGTGTTCACCGTTTGAACAACACATTCAACACGTAGCCGACAAATCGAAACACAGAAGGAAAATATATTTGTTGCCTCGCATCCCGATAATTTGAATCGATTTTATGCTGAAGCTGATTCACATATGAGCACCGATACGAATAGTAGTAAAATAATTTGGTTGCGTCAATTTTTACTCTGATTAGCGAATTTCAAACACATGTTGCAGTGTGTCCGCTTTTAACGCTTGGAAATTTACAGGAGCAGATATTGTGTAAAAAACTCTCGAGATGAGTAAAAGCAGAATGCAGTCAATGGGATCTCGTTACAATGAACTTTTTTGTCACAATTTGTAATAGATCATACATGTTCTCATGTTGTTTGGCTTACGGCTTTGACTGTATATCGGAATACGAATTCTTATGTTGCATGCGATAATGCTCATTTGACATTAACGTTCACGTAAAAAGATAGCAAAGGAATTGTTATAATCTGTAAGACAGTGTTTGGCAAGTCTAAAACCAGCTATCATCGGAAACGGTGGTTTTTGAAAAATATTCTAAACCCCTTTTCTTCAAGTGTTCGAGAACTTTCCCACGCTTTTGTTGAATTAACAGTTTCACAATTGTCATAATTTCTAATAGAGGATAAGCGACGATGCGGATAATGATCATGTGATATTAATAGATTGTGATTATATTAAATCACCGCCTCATAGGATTAACAGTATATTGTTTTCGATATTGTCGTGTTATCCAATAAAAGTTATTATCGAACCTTGACATAATAATATCACCATACAACATCTCCATATCCCAAAACAGCATCAAGTTCACATGATTGCAGTCGATTATGACATCCTAAAATCGCATCTGCCGACGAGCATCACGCTGTAATCGCGCAGCGGATATATTTTCTTGCTACGAATTACGAGTGTCAATTATACCCTATGAGCTTCACAGCTAATATCCTGTGCATTCGCTTTCAAAACTCAGATAATTGCCTTTACCCTCAATAGTTGTTTATACATCATTATCAACCATATCAGTCAAATTGGTATATGCACAATGTTGCCGGTATTGTGCAACATACGAGTCGTTTAAAAATAATTTATATGACGCATTCAATAATTAACAAATCGTCATTGTCTATCAATAATCTCTACGCCATCGGTATTAAATCGGTATTAAGACACACGTTTTATACTATCTGCCTTGTCGTTGGCCCCATTTATTGCACTTTTACGTACACCACCAAATGCTGACGAACGGTGGCCGCATCTGATGCAACACGATGACTGGTTAACGTGTAAACAGGGCGCAGATGTTGAATTGCAACCATGACTCACACTTATTTTTAGGTTAGGTTAAAAGTGACCAAACGTAATGAGATTGACCGCACAGGGAAATACTTTAAAATAAATAATATATATTAATATGTGATTGAGGTCACAGAAATCGCCTTACCTGAACACCAAACCTAGCACAATGACTGCGTAGATAAAGACAGTATAAATGTATGTATATTTTATTTATTTATACTGTTGGTTATATTATACTTAATATATCTCATCCATATCATCAATCTTTATATTTAACTCACCTTGCCAACTGAACACTCCCCCCGCACCTTAACTGCCTGTATTACTTCATAGAACGAGACGACATAGATATAACAACTAGAGACAACTTCTACATATAATATAATATCAAACTGGTGTATTGGGGAGAGCGAGCCAGACTACTAGCAGCCCACCCAACTATTCACACTAATCACTATACTACTGTAATTTGCACACGTTAACGACCAATATAGTATAATATCTTCTACTCCTATTATTCACACATACTCACGCATCGCTCTGCATAATGTCCAACGAAAATAATGTCACTGGAGTCAGAGTCGAACCAAAGTACTTGCAGTAAGTATTAGCAGAAAGTAGAGGTGGAAACAGGAAGGGAATCTACAACATGCCATTTATGTATAATTATATCGTAATACACATCAAATGTTGCAACACTCGTAAATCACTTCTCATTCTCTGCTCATCGTCGATTCAAGTCTTTGCTCAGCCATCTACGTGCGTTCTTAACCTCTGACTCCGAATCCCTATCATTTTACCTTCTAATGCAGAGACCCTTCCACTCTCGAATCCTTGACTTCCGCTATTCAAGGTCTATCGACGTACGTGACTCCTTATCTCCCATCACATCTGTCTCTCCGAAAGGTTGCCGGCAGCCAAACGGATACTTACTCTCAGTTTAATGGAGGATATTATGGCAATCACGGAGGAAACGGGAGGATTGGGAATGGATTTAATTATGTACACGATGCTAGTTTGCGGGGTCATCACAATGCTATTAGTAGTAGTATGGATGGCACTACGAATGGTAATCCTAAAGCCTCGTATCCTGACGATGACATTGATCAGAACGCGGAGAATATGATGCAGTTGCAAACGCACGGGCAAACTGAGTCAAGAAAAGATATGATCTTGTACAGCGGATTCGACGAGATTGGAGAAGGTGTTGGAAGGTGAGTTTATTAGAGGATTGGTATTCGATGCGATGGACTTGCGAGAAAAAGTCAAAAATATATTAAGGATGGTATTACCCAATAAGGAAATACGAGAAATTAAGGACCATTCAAGGTTACACCATTGTTGTAAATTTAAATCTTGACCCAATCCTAACATACATAAGCAAGATATCTTACTATTTATGAAACTATTTATTCCGTGTATTAACATCCTGGTATTAATTCTTGTCTTTACAGTCAATCGGTCTTATGTCTAGGATACACGGATGGTTTTCAGATTTGGGATATTACTTCATTGGATAATGTTCAGGAAATGGTGTCTATTAAACATGATAGAGAGATAGGAAATGTGTATTATATCAAGGTAAGGCAAATAGGATGAAATTGAGGGAGAGCAAGAGAAACGAATTTACAGAAAAATAGCACCAAGTCGGGACTCTGTTCTGTAATACAATCATCTAATCTAATTTGTTCTTTAGATAATCCCAACTCCACGTGAAACATCAAGAGAAGATCCATACAAAAAGTATCGACCATTAGCTGCCCTAGTGTAAGTTTTATACATCTATGTTGAAAGACCTGCACTATATTCTTTACGGGCATGCAATATATATCGTTTTAAAAGAATCAGACGGATGCATGACTTTTTTCGACTTTTCTCCTTTCTTTTCGCAGCTGTGCACCACAAGAAGACAATGCATCAGACATCTACACAAATAACTCTCGCTCAAAAGCTGTTGTGAAGCTATTTTCGTTAAGTTCATGTGAACTTATTACGCGATGGCATTTTGATCATGAGGGAACGATTGTGGGAATCAAGTGTAATGATCGGGTCGTTGTTTTTGTAAGTGGATCAACGATTGGGAAAGGAAAATGCCTGAACTTTTTGCTGCAATTTCCGATTATCATTTTTTTTACATCACACTCTCATCCCGAATCAATTCACACGTTCTGATATCGTACGGCATATTTTCTGTTATAAATAGTCCACGGCATTTCCTCCTCGACTTTACGTTCGCTCGACTCTTAACCTGGCTCCGCTCCATTCATCGCCCCTGACGGATGTAGCGGTGCACCCGACCACTAGGGTTCCTGTCTTTACTCTTAGTTCACGACTGTTGGCATACGCAACGACTACAGCCCCGAATCGGGTGAAAAACGAACGAAGTGGAGTTATGGCATTTTTGGCCAGCGGGTTGGGTAGTGGCAATACACAAGCGGACGGGGCTGCGTACGGAGACGAGAGCATGCTTGGAGATGGGGAAGGCGCATACTATGAGAATGGAGGGGCGTGGGATAAAGGTTATGGAGATGTTGCTAAAGGTGTTGCCAAAGAAGTTGTTAACGGAGTCAGAATTTTGGGTAAGTCGAAAGGAAAGGAACAAATCAGGGAGGGAAATTGTTAGGGTGAATCAGAACAAAGGATAATTTATATCAACTTGGAATTTCGCCAGTTATTTAACATTAAAGCCACGCTTTTCCGTTTCCAGGCGACTACGGCTACCAAGCCCTATCCTCATACTTTCTCTCTCCACCTCATGTAACCTCAACTCTACCCTACCATTCTTCAACTCAACCTATCAATATAAACGGCTCTGTCGATGCAAACAACATCGCGACGGGCGGAATAGCTCGGTCAAATCCTTCTCCACAGTTGTCTCCATCAAACAATTTATTTCGAGTTGGAAGTTCGGAAAGTAATACAAACGGAGATGTTGGTGAGAATGGCTTTCATGGAAATAGTAATGATGAAAACATTGGGGCTGTTGGTGCGGTGAGTGTTTGCAACGAACGTCATGAAATGGGGACGAAGTGACGAGTATCAAAATGGCTTATCGATATTACGAAACAGGTTAATGAACTTCAAACCAAATTTAATTAAACTTGCATTAAAATTTCCTACATCAGATAATTATCCGCGATTTAATACCGATCTCTTACACCACTGTTCCTGGCGCCCCTAAACCCGTCTCAACCGTTCACGCTCACCGCAAAAATGCATCGCTGACTCTTCCCGTACTCGCTCACTTCCAACCGCACACCAATCCCATATCCCAACTTTCCTTCAGCCCGTCGGGAACCCTTCTTTTCACAACCTCGATGTCGGGTCAGACTTTTCATGTGTTTGAAATTCTCGGTAGACGACGACCCGGAAACCGCAAACCCGTCAGACATTTGTACAAACTTTCACGGGGTTATACGAATGCTAGCGTTGGTGAAAACGGAGTGGCGTGGAGTGGGGACAGTAGGTGGTGCGGTGTAGCTACGGGAAGAGGAACAGTACATGTGTTTGGCATCAATCCGTTTGGTGGGCCAATGGATGTTAGAGCACATTTGAGAGGTCGAGTTAGCAACATTGATGAATGGGTAAGTATCGCCGAAAGGCGATGAGGTTAGGACTATTAATTGATTTCATTGTTAGCTGTTGATGCTATAACCAGACATGTTCATGACAGCATTTCTAACCACTATTCAAAACCTTTTTCACGTCGAATTTTTTCATCCATCTCAGCACGACACAACGTCGCAATCTCCAATAATCCGAATAAAGCCCAGAACGCCTCTTCCTCAAGATCCGGCCGACTCGTCGACACAGCCATTTCCTTTTGCGAATGAGCTGTACACACTAGGATCAGTTGATTCTACACCTTCATCTACTATTGTGTACGGAAGAGAGCAATCGTACAGCAATCATTCGAATTTATGGATGCAACATCAGAATGCTGCTGCATTACCGTTCATGAAAAGATCGCTATCAATGTGTTTAAAGTTTTTGAATTCCAACGCGCGAGATGTGCATGCAAGTACTGTCGGAGCTATTAATAAGAAAAGCTCCAAAACTCCGACGCCAGCTAATGGGGTTTCATTTCCTCAACACAACCATAAACCTAATGCACAAACTAGAGGACGAACAAGTCGGTGGAGTCAAGCTCCTCAACCGTTGATACAGCCTCCGTCATTATCTTCTCCGTCGTCATTGACCATTCCTTCATATCTTTCCACAGATTCGTCTTCATCCTCAACGAATGCAGCTTCTCTCACTAATGTCAATCATCAACAACTTTTGACGTTCCACCCATCGGGAATATTAACACTCCATCGTATTCGGATGGAAGGCATTGCACGCCGCGATCAGGTTTCTAAAGATGATGCATCTAACCCAACGGCAGCAGCAGTTGCTAATGTGGGCCGAGCTTTAGTCGGTGGAGCCGCTGGTGTCGTTGCAATGGGAACTGGTAGCAGTACTTATAAAGATGGCAGAAAGGACGCTAAAGGGGAGGAAATAGAATTGTTTGTTAAATACGATGATGTAGCAGAATGGAAAGTTTTCAGGGGTTCTGATTGGAAAGAGGTTAGGAATGGATATGAAATCCCTTCCAATACCAAGAGCAACGGGATAAATATAGCTAACAGCGAAGCTCTCAGCAGAAAATGGCTTTCCCAGGCTGAGATCTCTACGCATACTACATCGCGTATGTCTTTGCCTCCACCACTATTCCTCACACCTCAGTTCACTCTACAAACCTTTAAGGGTGCAGAGTCGATTGAGGCTATTAAAGAAGGGAGAGTTCCTGAAGCAGAAAAAGTAGAGGTTAGAAAAGACGTCGAAGGCACGACGGCAGTTGTACTTGAACCAGACAGAGTTTTAGGGAGTGACGAGATTTCTGGTAAGTATAACAATGGACAAGTGATGGTAAATTTTTGTTTTTTGTACTGATACGTGTTTACATTTTTTAGCAAACATCATGAATGCAATAAATACACGACTTGATTTCGAGCCAGTACATCCGTCCACACCACTCTCCTTTGAAGATGCCCATCACGTACATCGCGCCCAGGAATCTACAGAAATTTTCAGTTCAACAACGAAAAGGTCGTCGACTTCGCCAATGAGATCTAACGGATTGGTGGAACCATCGGTCAAAGTTGTCGAGCAACCCTCCAGCCAACCCTCCAGCCAACCCTCCAACCAACCCTCCAACCAACCCTCCAACCAACCCTCCAGCCAACCCTCCAGCCAACCCTCCAGCCAACCCTCCAGCCAACTTTCCAACCAACCCTCCAACCAGAGTTCTAACCATTTGTCTGAATCTGTTTCTAGCGATTCATCTTCAGTAACTCTTCTAGCCCAAGTGCCAGATTTCAATCTCGCTGGCGATCATTTCGCAAATGTCCCTCATACCGAGTCTTCGTTGCCTGTTGAATCGTCGGCTCTTCCGGATGATTCTGAACTTGATTACTTAGGCGAGGAAGGGAATTTCTTCTTCTCACCTGATGGAGATAATGAAATTGCGCTGCCTGGTGAGAGCTGAGTGAGTTTTATGAACATTTGAAAGGGGGGTAAGTATGAATATGGTGTGTTTATTTTATGTTTATACAGAAACTTTCTCTTTTTTTTTTCCTTTTCTTTTCTTGATTTATTGCTTGTTTGCTAGAATAATCTTTGCATTATATGTAAAAAAAAAAGCTGTAAAAAATTTTGATTATATATACATAGTTCTCGATTGTTATCATATAATTAACCACAATCTGGAAGGGTACTTCCTGATGTCTATAAATAGTGCATGATCTTGACTCTGTATTTCATTGTAAGATGAAGCGTTCTTGTAAATTTTGTCTTTATTTCTTTGCTTTAACAAATACTATATAAAGAGGTATATCTATGTATAAATGAACTGCAAGTGTATAATATCATGGAATGAATAGCGTTAGCAAAGTCGTATTTGGTCTTTTTGCTTTTATCAATGCCATTCAACATCCGAATCCAACGATCCGATTCTCTGTAATTACACGTTTCTCTGCGACTGCATATGCCAACGGTCCAATTTCTCCCTCTTCTCGCCTTTCATCTCTTTCAATAAATCTTGGTTCCGTTTTTCCTCTTCCCGCTTTCTCTTTTTCAAGCTAGGTTCGATTTGTTCTTTGGTCAGAACACTGGTTAACTTTTCCAAGCGATTCAGGGTTTCATCCGTAAAGATATCTTCATCACGAGTTGAAAAGTAGAATTTCTTTATTTGAGAAGAAACTTCAGATTGAGTAAGTGGCTTCTGAGAAAGAATTTTTATACATAGGGGAACGTGGCTAGTCATTTTGTCAATAAACGATGGACGAAACACTATCGTTGAAAGTGAAAAAGTACAAAATCATAACGATCTACAATGATTGATGATTTAAACGAATATGGTATTATTGCAACTCTAGATTTATTATAGACGTTATTAATAAAGAGTAGAAATGTCTCAATCATTATCAGCAATACAAATTTCCAATAACACCACAGTGATAACATTATTAATTTGAAAGAGTCGTTAAAATTTATCGTAAGCAAAAATTTTAAGATCTCTCCCCGCGAAGACGCCTGGCAAGTTGAATATCCTTTGGTTGGATAGTAACACGTTTGGCATGGATGGCTGCAAGGTTGGTATCTTCAAATAAGGCGACCAAATATGCTTCAGCTGCTTCTTGTAATGCACCAATGGCTGAACTTTGGAATCGAAGGTCGGTCTTAAAGTCTTGAGCAATTTCACGAACAAGTCGTTGGAAAGGAAGTTTGCGGATAAGGAGTTCTGTGGATTTTTGGTAACGTCTGATTTCTCGAAGAGCTACTGTTCCTGGTCTGTAACGATGTGGCTAGAAAGAGAAAAAGAATATGAATAGATTTGTAAAGTCAAAAATATCAAGAACGAGAGCAACTTCCAAACATTTCTTATTAGCGAACCTTTTTGACACCTCCGGCAGCGGGTGCACTCTTTCGTGCGGCTTTGGTTGCCAATTGCTTTCTGGGAGCTTTTCCACCAGTTGACTTGCGAGCGGTTTGCTTTGTTCGTGCCATTGCGTCGTTATTCTTCTTGGGGTTTTACGGGTAAATTTGTATGAGGAAATGTGTCTTTGTGACGTTCTGTAGTAAGACCAATAATCTCTATCGGACCTGCTTGACAAAGGGGCCTTTTTATCTGTGGTGGGAGCAAAGACGTTGCCTCGCGATACGCGTAAAGTTGTTTTCTTTTTTTGTTGTCGGCTCTCGATTCTGCGTATTTGTTTTGGCCTTAACTTGATTCGAATAAACAAAATAAAATTACACGTCCTGATTTAGCCTGATTCTCGCGAGCTGCGTCCTTAAACAGGGAAATACACAAAGATACAAATAGGAAATTGGGAGCGCAGATGACACAAATAAAAAACGCGTGAGGTCTGTCGAATCAGTTTGCGTTTGTGTCGTATTTTGCAACATCCGCTCCGCCTCAAAACAATCAACGCGTGACCTCAGATCACGACACGTATCACATTTATATAAATATCCTCCAATTTTGCCCTGCCCTCCCGATTATCGAATATTGCTTCAGAATTCTTTAATAAAACTACTTATCCCAAACACACCCCAATTAGACATCCCTCCAAAGTAAATATATACAACAATGTCTGGCCGTGGTAAAGGTGGAAAAGGACTTGGAAAGGGAGGCGCAAAGCGACATCGTAAAATTCTCAGAGATAACATCCAAGTAAGGCGATATTGACAATGAAACATTGATGACGAAATCTTTGGCTTGCCACTTTTGTATTCATTTTTCCTTTGCAATTCTATTATCATCATAGGGTATTACCAAGCCTGCTATTCGTCGTCTGGCCCGCCGTGGAGGAGTCAAACGTATTTCTGGTCTAATCTACGAAGAAACACGCGGAGTGTTGAAAGTCTTCCTTGAAAACGTCATTCGTGATGCTGTAACGTACACCGAACACGCAAAGAGAAAGACGGTTACTTCTCTCGACGTTGGTGAGTGGGGACTGCGTATTGATATGATTGTCCGACGGAAATTGTTTATCTGTTGATTAATAATTGTTTACTATTCTGCTTACATAGTATACGCCCTTAAGAGACAAGGCCGCACCCTCTACGGTTTCGGAGGTTAAATAGTCAAAAACGGTTATTAACTTGTACAAATGAAACACTGTTGCTCTATCACTATCGCTCTTATCATCGCATAGATTGGGGGAAAGATTACAAATACATTCGGAGGCAATATGTACTTTACATTGTTTTTCTTTGCTATCTGATATTTTAATAAATAATATCCATCAATGTCGCCTGTAAAAAGAATCACCTGTTGCGATCGTTATATACAAGCTTTTTTCCATCCATTTCTATGATTTACACCTGATCATCCATCCATCCCATACCGCAATGTGACTCGTATAGTTCGCGTACATGAGAAGTGATTGTTGTGATCCCGTCGCAAATCTAATCTAATACTGCGTCTCATTCCGGAACATATCGTCCCCCCTTTAACGCACGCACGAAATGGTAACGTATTTCCCATGTATAAACTTTGTTCTTCCGATCGATTTATTGACTGTTCACTTTCGATATCTAAAGTCCCAGTCGACCTGTGATATAGACCCTGAAGTTTTACAGAAACTTCGCAAGTTTCGTTTCAGTAAACGATCACAGAAAGGCAGTGCCGCATTCGTACGTAAGTTGGAAGGGTTGAATGAATTCAGTGAAAAATTTGAGAATCGCTGATAAGGCTGCTGCTTTCAAGTAAAGATAGATCGAGAACGCTTGTGTATTGTCGAGGACCAGGTGTATGATGAGATAACACTAGAAGATCTAGTAGAAGGTAATTGAATGAATCTACTTGTACGAAGAGCCATCATCTTGCTTCGACTAACGCTCACCAATACTTTCGTAGAGCTCCCGGAAACTTCCCCTCGATACATTGTACTGAGTTACGAGGTACATAACTGCACCTAACTTTATTGTATAAGCGTTGAGAATATCTGATCTCAAGCGCTTCATTGATTTTCTTAGCTTACGCACAACGATGGACGAAAGTCGTATCCTTTAGTGCTTATTTATTATTCACCAGTTTCCACCAAGCCGGAATTGCATATGTTGGTATGATTCAAGTCAAATTTGTTTTCTTTTTAAGCGCTACTATCTCTCTACGGCTTTTCAACCGTTCCATATTTGATCATAGTATGCGAGCGCAAAGACCTATTTCCAACAAAGGGCAGATGTCAATAAGGTACTTGTATGATAAGTTTTTGATATTGACTCGGTTATCGCTTATATTACCGCTTGCTACTCTTCAGGTATTCGATATCCGTGAAGCTGAAGCGCTCAGCGATGAATGGCTACAAGTAAGTAATGTCAACTGCAACTCTGTTAAACTGCTGAAATCTGATTCATCAAATGTTTAATTAAATAGAAAAAGTTGCTCTCTTGATGATTCTAATGGAATAATCAAAGCAAATACATCGTATTGTTTCGATAGTCGAAGAATGTTTATTTAAATAAATTGAAATGATTTGTTTCTATAAAGACTTTGATCGTTGCTAATATATATACGCAATGAATAGAATACCATGACGCATAACTATTACAATTTGTCCGATACCGAGGCTCGCGATCAATATCTATAACTATACAATTTTCAGATTACCGTTCTAAACATTTACAAATGCTGAACGAGTAAATTAGCATATAACAGATAATATTTATAATTATATTGTCAAGAGACCGCATCATTGTTAATTACATTTGCCACATACACGCTCCTAATGTCTCACGATCTCTTTGGATGCTGTCTCATCTCTCATCTGCTTCAAAAATGGCATCAAATCAGTCCCACCCGTACCTTTAATTGGACCAGAATGGGTTGTGGTCGAGTTCTCCACAGTTGTGGTGACACTGGCTACGGAAGACAATGTATTCGCCGATGTCTTGGGTACAGAAGAGAATCCTACATAAACAAAGTTTATAAATTTCTCATTACATTTATGCGGTTAACGAATAGTTTGCCTCCCTACACATACCTTTGTCAAGGCTCGGTGCATGATCCTTTGAATTAAAATGTAATCCGCCAGCTTTTCTCGCCTGATTGATTATGTATACACTAACAATTTGCAAATGCTTGTTCCTAAATTCGTTCATCTTATTCAAACACTCATTATAAACGTCAACTAATGCCGCAACTTCCACATCTTTATTGTCGCAGTCCGCTTGTGACATGATGTATTCGCGTATGTGAGCTATTTTGGCAAGGTCTTCGAGAAATCGCCGGTGCGGACCAGGAATGTTTTGGCGAATTTTGTGCAAGTAGGGTTGACGGGGTGTGATGCTGGGTTCGTCTTGAACTGGGGGAATGTTGTTTGGATATGGGTAGTATGAGAATGAGTTTTTGGAAGAGGTAGAATTGAAAATATTTGAATGTCCTTTTGCTTTTGTTTTCGTATTAGTCGGATAATGCTCGACGTTCAATGCAATATCAAGCGCCTGTATCAGCGCACTCTGACCAGCACTTGCTCCGACATACTGTCTAAATATAGTCTCGCCCTTTTCATCGACTCCGTCCACACCCTCGTATATAATTCCTTTAGGTAATCGATCTTCGTTCTCCCAACCTGCCAAATATGGCCGTACTTTCCAATAGAACACATATGGATCACACTTTTCGTACATTCGTTGAAGACACTCGCGGATATCTGATATCGCTGTGCTTATATCAGTGAGCGACGCAATAAGATCCTTGTTGTTTGCATCGCGAGCAGCCTGGAAAGCGGATATTATAGCGGCCAGCGCACGACCGCCAACGCCTTCAATCGCGGTTGTTACGAGATAAAACCAGGATTCATCTAATGTGTTTGAATACGTATCCAATGTCGCCAGATTACTTGTAAAAAAGAAAACAGAAAAAAACGGTGAATTTGTCTTTCAATATAGTACGTCATGTTGTTGAATTTTCAAATTCTATATTATATTACTTACTTCAGACATAAAGGTTCATTCGGAAAAATTAATCGCCAATTCCACAAGACCACGGCTGCATGATTGACGATCGGTGCTACTTCGAGGTAAGCAGACACTTTTACCCAAGGTATAGCCAAACCTGCTGGTAATCTCTAAAAAGGCAGTCCGATGCGACGACTTAGCATGCGGTTATTGAACATTCGTTCATTCACCTAAATCAATCTTCCCCCGTAATATAATCTATCTGCCGACAAAACTTTTCACAAGACGCGGCATATCATACTTACGTCAACAACTGGCTCAAAATTACCCCATATATATCCATGAGCGAGAATAGAGAGAACAAGGAAGGCGCGCCGAAATTCAGCTGGCGTTTTCAATCGATCTGTTTTTAGTATTTCTAACTGAAGGGAATGAATTAGACGAATCAGAGTGAATTTGTACAAATTGTTAGCAATACTTTTTTTTTTCAATACAAACATTAAACTTTTAGATATGTCAAAAGGGAAAAAAAAATTTTGTAGTGACTGCGAGAAGGCTATTACAAATTATGAAGACTATTTCATAAGGAACCAAGGTACCAAGTCTTGTCTCCTCACCTTTCCAATACACTCCCTTAATCTCCCAGCTAGCATAAGATCATGAAAGATATCAAGCAGCGACTCCCAAGGCTCATAATAAGGATCAGGCAGACGCCGTAATGGTGGAATAGAAGGTAAGAACCCAGTCACCGGATCAATATCATAATCTTCTAAACGGGGGATTGTTATTTGGGGATAGGCTTCTATATGATTTGGGGGCATCAATTAAGACTATCTATATCAGGAAAGATCCAACAAAAATGAAAAGTTGGTATGCTTGCTGGTTTCCCAACGTCTGTTGGTATCCTTTATATGAGTTTTTGTGGTCGTTGGTCCCTTAGTCGTGCTTTAAAGGAAATATTCGGAAACCAATTGATCACGAGATTGAAATTCCCTATCAAAAAAATACATTAGCACGAATAAATCGGGGCAACAAAGTTGGCAAAACTTCAACGCTAAATACATCAGGGGTCACAATTGGAATTTTTGATTGGCTAGAAATGATATATTATCCATTATATATTAGTAATCCGTGATTCCAGCATGATACTGTTCGTTCAAGGAAATTAACCTGGTTTCAATAATCCTCTAACTGCCTGGTCCGCCCGGAGGGGCCACACGTTTCAGTTTATGTTAAGACTTGTGTCAGGTTGTTAGGATCTATACGGATCTTTTGTGTATTAAAGATCGATTTGTCAGAATTTTTATTTGGTGACGTAATACATCGGATAAGATGTTAACATGATTTTTGCCGTAAAAGGACGAACGTCATTATCAGACTTTATTATTGGTTCGGATGAGAGCGAGTTATTTACCGTGAACAATTGAAATATTCAGGCGTAACCAGGAATGTTTACAAATTACAAAGGTACATTATATGCGTGATTTGGATGGTTTCATCAACGTCATCTCTGCTGATCAGCAAGCCCAAACTTATTAAATCATTATGAATCATTGTAGAAAAGAGAATTTGATGGGAAAATGACAATGGCTAAATGTGTCACCGAAAATTTATAATCAGATATTCCCAAAGAATGTGCTGTACATTCATGTGACCGATCAAGTCAAATTCTGCATCACAATTTAGTGTAACATGTCCAATAAACAAACAGGGAAATTTTGGCGGTTTAAAAATCCTTCCATCCCAAACTAAAACGGGGTGTGTTGAAGATAATAATAACAATAATGCTTACTCTTAACCAAAGCTTTGCTTCAACTTGCGCGTTTGCAGTTATCATCCGCCTATTGATGTTGCTTTATGGCGAATGGCAAGACGCACATTTACAAGTAAAATATACCGACATAGACTATAAAGTACTCACTGATGCAGCGCGTTATGTAACAATTGGTGAAAGTCCATATCAGCGAGCTACTTATCGATATACACCCTTATTAGCCTTCTTACTGACACCAAATATATACCTTCACAAGTCGTTTGGCAAAGTTTTATTCGTTCTTGCAGATATACTCATTGGCACTTTAATATACAAGATACTTCGCCTACGTGGTTTGCCAGAACTAGAAGCAGTCACTTATTCGGCGTATTGGCTATATAACCCGATGGTTGCTAACATTTCTACACGTGGAAGTGCTGAATCCCTGATCGGTGCACTGGTTCTTTCTACTCTTTACCTAATTACTACTAAACGCTTTTACGCAGCGAGCGTGATGTTTGGTCTATCTGTCCATTTCAAGATCTATCCGATCATCTATTCGGTACCTTTGCTGATATTATTGGATGATGAGGACTATTGGGGGATACCGTGGAAGGGTAAGGAGAAAGTTCATGATACTTGGACCGTCAAGCACTGGACAGGCAAGATTGCTCGATTCGTGACTCCGACACGTGTTTGGTTTGGGATTATTAGTGGTGGAGTATTTTTGGTATTGAATGGAATGATGTATTATCTGTAAGTTTCGTAATATGACATGTATTATTTCATTATAGTATAGATGCTCCGAGTTTGAACTACCTTCTGATATTATTATAAATCCATCGATCATAATTTGCACGCGATCATTTAAATCATTTATCCCCGAACACATAACCCAAAGCTATTCTCAAGAATTTCTAAGAGAAACCTATTTTTATCATGTTGTACGCAAGGACCATCGGCATAATTTCTCTCTCTGGTTTTATTACATCTATCTCTCTTATAACGAGCCTCATGGAACACTACTTGGAATTGCAACATTTATACCACAGTTCTGGCTTACGTTTCTATTAGGCGCTGCATTTGGTAAAGACTTGTTCTTTGCTTGTTTCATACAGACTTTCGCATTTGTGACATACCAGAAAGTTTGCACTTCACAGGTAAGTCGCGTAATTGATTCTGATGTGTGTGTGTAAATGAACGTTTCGGCAGAAAATGGTGCAATCGGCTGGCTCAAGCACTCATGGAAAATCAAATTTCAGTATTTCATGTGGTATACATGTCTTTTACCACTAATTCTTCCATCAACATTGATCACCTTTAAATACAAAGGCTTCATGTTACTTCTCGCGTGGGTTGTCAGTCAGGTACTGGACCTCCTTTCACTACAGCTTTCTTTATTCATTTGTCAACACAACTCATCATGTTACACACCTGATAGGCACTATGGCTAAATGAAGCTTACAAGTTGGAATTCCTTGGGCAGAATACGTTCTTTGCTATATGGAAAGCGAGCCTGCTATTCTTTGCTGCCAATTTGTGGATATTGAAGGAACTAACATCCAAGCATATGTTTGAATCTGTGTTTGAGTTGGGCAAAGTTAGGAAGATATGGGAAAGGAGAAGTCGCATTATGGATGAGACCATGGAGAGAGAGAGTTTAATGTGATCTGTTGATGGGATAATAATATAGATTGGACATAACGATACGTCCAAATGTTAGTTATTTATGTGTCGGTATGTTGCTATAAATCAAAGTTGCGCAAGTAAGACATATGTTATGACTTTGATAAGTGCCTTTGATGGTACGATTCCCTTTTACTTCTAACTGTCTCCAAATACTTTTTGATAGTGGATAAGATAGATACGATATAATCTTCATCGTTTGCATCTTGTTGATTTCCAGGATCTATCAGAAGTGAGAAATCGGGGCCGTACTCTTCAAAGTATTTATGTTCAGGTATATCCTCAGATATCGGTGTGTTTGTTAATAGACTTGTAATATAAGCATTACAGCGTGCTGCATTTGCATGGTTATATCCACCTGTGAAGAAGGTTAGAGGCAGCCCAAACGATTCTCAACTTGGAATAAACAGTGTCGTAAACATACCTCCACCAAGGACTAGAGTAGGTTTATCCCATTCTACGACTTCACGGACACATTGACCAAAGTTATCTATGTCCAAGTTCCATTCACGTGACGGGTCACCGGCTAGACCTTCCGGGATTGGCAATGTATGTGAGCAGATACGAGTCGATTGCGTGATTATTATATAGTTCAACAGTCGCCGTGGCAAAACAGTCTTACCATCGCATCCGCATTGAATTATAATTGCATCAGGCCTGAAGGCTTCAAATGTTTGTTTTGTTACTTGGGAAAATACTCGACGGAACGATGATCCATTCAAACCCCGCCTGAGGGGTACGTTGATTGTATGATAAAGACCAAGACCATGGCCGATGTCGTTCAGTTTACCTGTACCTGTGCAATAATAAATTATTCGAAAAGTGCTAAACAACGACCGATCCGAACGAAAGCAAGAATTGCGATTATCATTGTCAAATTCACGACGGCAATGATTGTCAACTTTTGTTTTCTTACCCGGATAGAATCCAGCAGCGTAATGGTGAAATGACAAGGTCAAGATTTTATCGCTGTATAAAAATGCGCTTTCTACACCTATATATATATATATATATATATATACGCAATCAAACTCAAAATAATCTTTGAGGGTTAACACGGTATGCAACCACTCGTGTGTGAAAACTGACCATCTCCATGATGCAAGTCGAGGTCGATATAGAGTATTCTATCAAACTTTTTACGCAGTTCGATTATACCAATTACCACGTCGTTCACATAGCAGAAACCCTGAGCTGATGACCTCTTCGCGTGATGTCTAGGTAGGGAGGAGAGGTGAGGAGATGTGCCATCTTGTTTTACTTCCTTGGAGGAAAACCGCATCACATTAGATGTTATAAAAACTAAGAGTTCTGCACTCACCGTCCTCCATCCCAATGAATGGCAACATCAACTTCTCCCTTGTTGAGAGCCTGTGCTGCGGCTATTGTTGAGCCGACTACCAAGCGTATATATTTCGCCAAACCTTTGAATACTGGACAATCCTAATCAATACTGTTAGAATGGCAAAAGATTTGAACAGACATATCACCGAGTCGCACTTACATGCTCTAGACCATAATCTGAAAGCAATTCCTCATAAGAAAACTCTTCATCTGATGTACAAAGCATAGACATTGTGTTCTGTTTCACATTTTCGTCGTATTTCTCTGCCTGGAGCATAAATTCTTCGATTCATACATTAACAATCGTGACCAAATTAAGCAGAGCATTCCAGTGAAAAGATCCGATACATGTTAAGGGCTATATACCAACAAAGTCGCTCGAATGAAACACTGCCAGTTCATCATCAGTAGCCGCGTAAGGCGAAATAATACTACACCACGTACGAAAGTCACGCGATAAACATCTGGGAACCCTCCATACATAATATGAATGAATTACAGACAATGCTTCTACCGGAACGTACATGACCCTGTTCCAGATATCGTACACCTCAATCAGTGAATGTACAAGGAGGCTCTGCGATAAGGAAACCATTTGTTGATTAGCATGTGGAAAATATCATACTGTTTATAATGTGTTTGCGTACCCGACCATGATTAGAAGGCAACAAAGCGGCAACATCGGCGTACGCTCTTGAATAAACGTATCCAACACGTCTATGATTATCACAACGCTGTCTTCGTTTCCGAGAAGTGCTCTCGCAGTTGCTGGCTTCAAGGAAAACATTATCTGTCGATCTGGAACGCTTGATCAAGCAATTATCTGTTATTGTGTTATTAGCGTTTATGCTACGCGTATTTGGCTGGCTAGAAAGTCTATCGCCATCTACTACCGAATTAACACTCTCGATGTTAAAATGATCCATTCTCGATTTGCCTAATTCAGTGAAGGAAGTAAGTAAACAAACTTTGTACAACACAGAGAAAATAGTATCAGTATGGTTCGCAACCTTATTAGGATTCATCCATATATTAATATTAGAGAATGTTTCCTGCTGGTTTATTTTGTAATTGTAGATCATTCTGTATGCTATAGTCTTATATTGTCAAGATATTTATAGCGTATATTTATACTTCTAGCATATTTAAATTATTATTACCAATATTAATATAGTTTCAGTAACAGTACGCTTCGACGTTGTCACAAATGTGTCGCGAAGTAAGAAATAAACGAAAAGTGTAAATATGACGGTTGGTTTGAAGCCGCCAGAAATAAAAGTTTAATCTCGTGGACAGAATTATTAACAGAATTTCTTGTTTTGGTAAGAGGCAGTTATCGAAACCCTAATGCTAATTTTTTAATAACAAATACCGTAACAAGTTAGAGATTGCATTTATCAGTTAGCATTATCATGATTATAAATTAAACAATTTCATAAAACGACACTTAAAGAGCTCAAACACTGTAAATTTTTATTGGGATATACACGTAAACATTTCTATTATTACAGCAGGAGCAACATCGCATTTTCGTTGTCAAAGTACATGAACAATGCGTCCAATAATTATTCCACGGGTTAAGTGAGACTTTCGTTATCTTACACAAATGTTGGATGCGCGTTTATTAATTCTTGCGTACAATTCACCATGAGAAACATCCCATAACATTCAGTCAACCAAACGTCCCATTTTAATATCTATCGGTGGGCGACTCGACTCCCTTCCGGCTATTGAAGAATTCTTTGTTGATCGTTATGAGCTAATGAGAAGAGACAAATTAAGCGCCTTGTTTAGTATGTAATTTTTGATGCTCTTACGACACGCGTACACGACTTCACCTTGGCATTTTCATGTTGCTGAATACGATTCCAAGGATGGGGCGCAGTCTTGTTAATGATGACGTCCGGGTTAGTACTCAATACGTAACCAGCAAAACTGCGACAGAATTAGCAATCGTTAAAAATAATTGTTACGGGCAATAGGTGACATTAATGTGCTTTTAGACCTACGTCATGCTGCCAATAATGCCAGCTCCGGAAGCAACGAATAGAGGGATTAACTGTACAAGAACAAATGATAACAGTCATTATCTTGCATCGATACGTTTTAATGCTTTTCTTGCGTTATTCGTCGCCCTTTACCATACTTACGGCTGGGTTCTTCCTGAAGAAAGCGCTAGCCATAGTAATATTTTATTCTTGAGAGTGGGGAGGGTATTTCGTAAAGTGAATTCAGTAATAGTAAATGTCGTCACAAAGGAAGACTCGGCGATGGGAATATTCCTTGTTTTGAGTACCCCGTCGAGGTCACAAGGTCTTTTATGTTGATAAGACCCGCGCCCAAAGATAAGATGTTGGCAATATTATTGGACAAGCGTTGATCAAACTATTAGAATTCCCAAGCACGAAGCTCATCGTTTCCCATACACAAAGTTTGTGCCATTTAGAATGAAGAGACTTACGTTAAATAGTATTATTATTGCTACTTAATACTATTATAGTTTGATGACGATTAGTATAAACTAATTAGCGTTTTATAGTCAACATTACTACATTCTTCAACTATATTTTCTGTCACCTATCTTGATAATGCGTATGGTATAAAATAACGAGATTATGAGAAAGACACAATAAAGTGGGCAAGTTACACATAATGATAAACACGGCGCCTGCCTGCATTCACAAAATCTGCACATTTTCGAATCGCCTTTTTATTAGGATTTCACCAGTCGGCCGCTAAGAAAATATAATTAAAATTTCATATTACCACATTTTCATTTGTTGAATAGGGACCGACTTGAATAACGTTATCCCGAAGCTTGAACTGAAGAGAATGCGTCCCACATGATGGATTGACATAATAACATAACATATATTGTTTTCATGCTAAATGGTTATTAATATTAATAATAATTCTATTATACAACTATGATGTGTTCTTATTGTTTCCTACCATTTTTAGCAATAGCGCCGTCTCGCCTCTTTCTTCTACGACACTGTGATTACGTCATTCGAATTATAACATCCAACAGCTTTACGCCATAAACAAGAATCCGATTCGTTACCCAAAATACCGGCGGAGTAAGGAACACGACTTGTTTGAATTCAAGTCAACTCAATTTTTATACCGTTTTATTATTACAATAAGAGTATTCGAACAAATGATTCAATTTCTATATCGAAAACGGGGATTACAAGTTGTTCTGGTCGAATTTTGAGTATCCAGAATTTTTTAGTGGTACATTTTCCTGATGAAAAGAAGGAACAACATCATTTGTGCGGCAGTCGACCGGCCACGCGACATGCACATATAGATTGAATACATGGACCTATAAATACGTGTTAATAAACGCCATGTACTAGTATGATGCATCATCAAATCTCAAATATTATTATGAATTTGGATAACATTACTAGATTGTTTTTGAAGTTGTCTGACAACTTATATTCCGAGGACTATGCTGCATAACTGATTTATGTAACTTGGGTTAGGGTTAGGGTTAGGGTTAGGGTTAGGGTTAGGGTTAGTGTCCGACTTATCGAGTTTCACTGTGTACCAAGATTTGTAAAGTTTATTATAACGTGTTTGATTAGAGTATATAAACCAGACAGAGTGAACGGTTTTATTATGTGATTTAAAATCGTTAGTCTATTCGTTGCCAGTATAGGACAAGTAATATCTTTAAACCATCTCTGACAATGCACAAATGTTTCGGTAAAGATACTCTTGTCTTTTGTAACCCAAAGGAGAATTAGTATTAGAACTAAAATTTTTTACTTGTTGTAATTTGAAATACATGCTTTTCTAGATTAAATTTTGGTAAGCACCATTAGCAACAATCGAGCTTTGACATTTCCAGAATTAGCTGCATCAAAGATATTTTTGCAAACCATTCAATTTCTTAAAGAAAAATTTTCAATACAAATATAAGACCGAAAATATTGCTTATTTAATCCTGCTGTACTCAATCTAACAATATATTTTACACAATTCACTATTGTTTTTTATAGAGTTTTTTGATTAATCCAAATTATCATCATAACTTGAAATTATATGTTCAGATGTATTATATCATTCGTCGCTCGGTAATTTAATGTTTTCGAAGTGAGTACGACAAAATTCCTAACATATCGAGATACGTTTTCTGACAAAGAGACGTGTTGCAATTCTTCAGTATAAAAAAATCTTTTTATTAATACGCGTTTTTTAAAGATGTCGACTGGTAGTTACTGTATTTCTCCGCCATTAGTTGGGCCATTAAAAATAATTTTTGTTCAGAGAGCTTGAATTTCTCGCGAATGTTTCCGTCGGTTATGGAATTATTTTGGTCCAATTTAGTAAACTTTTCTCCCAGATTCTTTTTTGAACAGCCACAACTGCTAACCTAGCTTCAAGAAACGTATTGCTTTTTATATTTAGTTGAACCACTATTTTTAAATAATAAATTTTATTATTGAGTTTTATCAAAAGAACTATAACAATAGGAATAGCACTAAGCTTTTATTTGCAAAAACTTACGTTGCGCATTTTCTGATGTAAGAATACAAATTTATTGAATCAGGTTATTCAGAAAGACATACAGTCTTCCAAAACACGACCGGGAACGTTAACGTAACTATACATCATGCACTAATTAAACTTGCCCACAATATTATTTTACAGATAGTTTGTAACCTGTATTGATTAACGTTTATTTTCTCTGTTTACCCAAATAAGTGAAGTCTGTCTAACAATTTTGCCTATTTTGTCTTCTACTTTTGACCATTGTAAACTCAAATCAGTATTTTGAGATCAAATACTAATACGTTACTAACAAAATGTGGTTAGAATGTTTTGAGAAATTATGGAGAAATAAATTTAACGTAATATTGATCATAACTACGGCCTACGTGGCACAAAATTTGGTAAACACAAGCTTCCATTTTTTTCTGCATAAATTTGTAATAAAAGCTTGAACCTTTCTTTCAAGCTTATCCCAAAGACGTTTGTATTAATATCAGGACTGTGCAGACAAGGAAGACACATGGGGCAGACTGCAACAAACTGGATAAAGTAAATATTTAATTATGTGAGCTAAATTCTGCTGGAGGGGCTGTTTTTTAGCTTTGAATTAGTATTAGTATTAGTGACGTAGTAATAGCTGTAACAATAAATTTACAGATAAATTTTAATTGCATTTTAAATCTGGTGTAAACATTCTTACTTGCAGTTATTATTATAACAATGATGTACTGTATTTCATATACGTATATTAATATTTCCATAAAAATGTTAATATAAAATTAATTACATTAAATTCATCATAAAACCAAATAATTACAGCATTTTAAAAAAAGTAAAAGGAAAAAAATTGCTCCACAAAATTAAATTAATAAAACCAAAACTCTGCGTAATATTTGCTGGAAAAATTGTTGTCTTTATTTCATGCTGAATCAGAACCCATGCCTCATCAAGACACAAAATGATTTTAAGACTCGTGGCAGAGGCATCCAGTAGCTTAATCTTTAAGAAAGAAGTGTAGGCAATTCACTTCATTGGATTTGATTCATTACATCAATCCAGAAGCCTCATGCATTATTTTGGTTTATTTAAAAGTTCCAGAAGTTTTTTGGTTTTAGACAAAGTTTGCAATGGTCTTCCTAGCATCAAGGTTATTTTGATAAAATGTCAAAGAAAGTTAGCTGTTCTGATAATCTCACTTTCAAGCAGCGTAACCCGTACTGGCTTGTTCCCGAAAGCATAGTAATAGGTAAATAGCAAGGACTTTTTCTACAATTTCTGAAATCAGACGTATTTGCCATAACCAGAACTCTGAATAAGTAAAAACAAGACATTAAAAGATATAAGAGCAATAGAACTGTTCTGACACGAATCTTTAAATAAATTCAATAGTCCAGCATTGCCATTTTTAGTAGTGATGTCTCTTGAAAATTGATACGTACTTGTGTCCGCCGCTATACTAAATAAATAAGCCGGAGTCTAAGAATAGTTTGCTTAAAATGGCGTACGCTTTTAAACGAAAGCAAACGTATTTCGACGCGTCTTTCGAGAAATTAATATCGTTTTCCCGTAATTAAATTCGCAAATTAAGTTATTATTGTTATCATACTCCTTGCAAGTGTCTTTATATATAGTGCGTATTTTATAGCAGACACTGTATAAATATCCGCATACTAAAGCTCAGCTTATTACACGTGATGTGGGGTTTACAGTGTTTTGATTACACGTTTTGGGTTTAAAACTGATTCGACGCTTCAACGCAAACAAACAAACATTCTGTTTGCGTTTGAAGGTGAGGTTGACAAACGGTTTCTACTATATTATTTCTCGCGTCATTGTCAGTTGGAACTAATTGATATTTGAAAACTGGTCAACGCCATCCTTTATTTGTTGTATAATACCCGAATAGAATATTATTTTTACCAATTGAACAAATACATTGCTGTTATAATTAGATCGTTTATTATTACATTAAGTAAAAGTTTCTTATTTTGTTTATAAAACTGTCGCTCTATTAAAATAATTAATTATGTAGGTATATACACAGCTAGTATTGCAACATTAAGATTAGTGTACTCAACCAGAGTAAATCTTTCACTATAATGTTCTTAATTGACTTCGAAAGCCCCAAAGTTAACTTCATAGATATTAGGAATTGTCTTCTGTCCAATATGCGTATCCTTACTATTAATGAATTGAGACATATAATAATCAAGGTCGTTTCTGGAACGACCCTTAACCTGTTCAATGTTCAGCGAGAATTCTTCGCCATCCGAGTCGTCAAATGAAGTAGATGAAGATGACGAGGTCAATGGAGAAGGGGGTGATATCAAATCTTCAAGGAACAAACAATCATCTTCAGCGACATTGTCATGTTTCTTCTCATGTCCAGACGAATACTGATCAAAAACTTCCTCACAAACGCTATTACAATCTTCTAATCTTAAAAACCCAAGTCCAGATGTGACGGGAGCGCCTCCACTAGTCAAACGATCAATCACTAAGGAGAAATAATCATTATCTTCCTCCAAGCTGTCACGCCAGACCTCACGACCAGTAATTTCGTTCGGGGTTGGTGGGATGAATTTCCCCAGCTCAGAATCAACCCTTTGTAACATGAAGTTCTCATCCTTCTTAGATTCGACAAGGGGGTGAGGAGCGGACAGGAACATGGACCCAAGAGAACTGAATCGCCTCTTTGTCAAAGTTGTGAACAATTCTTGATTCATACTTCAATAATAGTAATATGATAATCAGACAAGACGAAGGACTTGATTGAGGAGCGATACTTGCACACAAGGTCTTTGCGATGAGAGCTGGAGGGGAGAATAGAAGCTTTTCGAGAGATAGCAAAAGGGGCAGCATATTTTAATTGTCCAGCGTAAATTGTGTATGGTATTACCATTACCCCATTAAGCATCGAAGGTTATGTTCAGAACCGCCCCAAAAAGCGCACCCGAGTTCCCCGAATTAATTTCGGCCTTAATATTAACCATTTATTGCTAGTCATTGGGCAGCCCGATTGATAATGTTGCACATAAAAGGTAGTAATAATGAATATGTGCCCGTTCCCACATGTTTTCTTGGCTCTGTGGTTGACTGTCATACCACGTTACAGATATGTGAGATAAATATAAATATAAATACAAGTAAATTTGTTGGGGGAGCTTTCTGTTCTATTTTTGACATTATTATGCATTGTTTGTGAACTTTAAGTAAATTTATTACTTATTTCGTTACACTAATTAACAATTGACCGATCATTATCTGATAATACTACTTAAAAGAGTTGAATAATGAATTCAAAGGGGTCTGGCCGACAATCATTTTGCCGATAAAAACTACTAAAAAGGATAACTTCGAAAATTTTTGTACTTTGTGTGAAGAATATTTTTTATACTGATAATACCTCGTTTTTGAATAATCATGCTTTATCTAATTCATATTCATTAACAACGTATGTATTTACATAAACAATCTTCTTCATATGATAATAACTACCAACTATTGACACAATAACACACTGCTCATGCTTCAAGTAATGGTAATAATATAAGATTTTGTCATAATAATAACGTATAGTAATAGACATTTCTCACCGTAAAGTAAAAGAAATGAACGACTCCCCTTATATATGACGTATATTAACATTTGTTTGTACAATCTGGGGTTTAAAAATTAATTGCGAGGTTTCAAACCTGTCTTTGCACCCATATTTTGACTAGCACTGTTGGTATTGTAATTGGGCCAAAAAAATCAAAAAAAAAGGCTGTTATGGTATTTGTATCAAAACCAAGCCAATTACTAGTACTAGATGCTTACACTGAATAAATTTGCAGATCAGTCAAATATGGGTACCTTGCTGAATGGTAGTGTAGTCCCTAATCAGTGGTCAAATATTATGCTATTACTAAAACTTTTCTGTTGTAGATGTTTAGTACGTGCTCTGCACATAGTTAGGTTAAAAAAGCATTTGCTGGAAATTACGTAGAACTAAATCCTTGCTAATATCTTCAAACAAATTGACAAGAATATTATATATAAGATTACCCAGACATGAAAAGCAACAGATATAACGGTTTTATTCAAATACGAAAAGCAATACGTTTCTTAGAATGAGTTGTAATTTCTGTTGTTCAAAAAAGCTTCCAAGAGCAAAAGTTCACTGGATTATTATTATGTAAAGCGTTTCAAGCTCCGAGCAAGATATATTTCCAATGGCCCGGCTGAAAACAATGAATGGTAGAGAAAATAAGTGTCAGTCGACGTTTTAAAACAAAAACGCGTATTAATAGGAAAACTTTTTATTATTGAGGTTGTAATACGCCGCTTTGTCAAAAAACGTAAATTGTAAATTGGCCGCAAGTCACTTCGAAACGCGAGAATTACCTGACAGCGAATGGTATAGTTCTACGTGTTGCAAAAATAAAGTTAAAAATGATGATTTTTAGCAATTTGCAATAGTAAAAGAGTTAAAATATACACTTTTAGATTGCCATAAAAGTACAAGAGTAAAGCTTGTGATTTTGATCTATATACAATGAAGGTAACAGGTGTGCTAATCGAATAAAAGTCGTCACGAGGCAACCGTATTAACTGATCTGCGAAAATTGTGAAAATAATTTCGAGAATGATGATTACAATATCAAGTGTAAAACATGTGGCAAATTGCAGACCAAAACCGACTTGAATTTGTTTAGTGATAAGTACACTTATAACAGAAAAGTTAGAGACAAATAACTTGACTTATTAAAGGAAAACATAACCATGTTTTATGAACTACAAATAAATAATTTGCAGGAGGAATTAAACACAGCTGAGATGGAGACAGACATCCACCTAGAAGCCTTGACTTTGTGGGTTCTTTATTAAGCACAACCTAGAAGTATTGAAAGTAGCAGAAGATTGACACAAAAAATAAAAGCAAAAATATTGGATAAAATTGCCAACTTGGAGAAAAAAAACAAGGCATTGAAAGAACAAAATAAACAGTTAAAAAAACCAAAACAGGGTAGAAAATTATGGAAGAAACCCGCCAAATTAGAAATGCAATCATTTCAACTGACTTTTCAACAGCAAATTGCTCAAATCAAAGTTAAAAGGCTAAAAACAACCTTGATTGAAATTAAGAAAGTAATCATTCTTTTTGGAATGCTTCTAATCGTGCTGATCCATAGTGAATGTGTTGTAAATTAGTTTCATATTTATATTTTTATATAAATTAAAATAGCCCATATGAAATACAGTACTGTTATAATAATAACTGAAGTAAAATGCTTATCTCCAATCAAGTTTACATTGGTACAATTAATAGTAATCTAAAATGCAATTAAAATTTATTCATGGGCCACAACTGTGCCACTAATATAAATACTGATACTAAATCAAAGCCAAAGAATCAGCCAAGCCAGCCATTTTTAACTCACATTGTCAAACGTTTACTCTGTCTGGTTTGTCGTAGCATAACCCATATTATTCACAAAATTCCCACATTTAAATTTAGTTGTAAAGCTTAATTTAATGGTTTCATAATAACTGCAATTACTAAATATAAATAAATCAAATAGTGGCATTATTTTTATTCTAAATATCACAGGTAATCTTTAATTTATTTATGCCCAGCCATGCCAGTTTGTAAAAACTAAATTGTTCCATTTAATACCAGGCTCAGTGTACGATAGGACCTTTTCCTATAATCTCGTCTTCATCAAGAACTTAATTAATTTGCTCGCCTACTTGCTTCATCTTCATCATGAATACCGAACAAACGTACTTAGTACTTGGATAATAAATCTTGCCTGTTATATGTTAATCGGAATGGGACACGTAAACTTTTCGTATTCAATCGTAACTGTAATGAGCAGTAACATCAAGGCTACAGTAATCAACTTTATCTTTGTTATAATGCTCATCTACACTTTTTCTTTGTTGTTCTGTTACCTTTGCATTTTTGCTTGTAATAATTTCTGTTTAATTTTAGCCTTAACTAAATGTATTTTTGTGTTTTTTAGTAAACTTTTCCTTACTGTCTGTTCCGAAAATGTTGGCACATGTCACGTAGATCCGTTCTCGGACTCATAATTTGAATATAAGGCAAAACGCATCATATTTTAGCAATTCAATAAATGCGTCATTGTTTCCGAACCTGCAATGAAAATACGATACATCGATTCGCAACTCGTTTCATCTGGTAAGAGTGTAATTCTTGGTAATCCATGTATTTCTTCGCAGCATAGCAACGGCTATATTTGGTTTTCCATCACGATCATCAACGCGTGGTGTTGTATCATTTGTCGCTAGTTAATTCCTGACGTTTTCCAAACGAGTGCGACCAATTTCCAACATATTGACTATGTATTGCAATCTCAGTAATAGCCTATTGACACGTGCTTTCCTTTTAAGATGTTGGCTGGCAGTTTATTTTCTCACTGCCTTCAGTTGGGGGACCATTAAAAACATATCATGTTCAGACCTAGAAGGAGCTCGAAATTCCTCGCGTAATTCGGCAAAATTTTTTCTCGTAAACATCCATAATTCCAAGAAACGTCATGTTCGAAACCCAAAAATGCGAGACGTACCAAATTGTCAGGACGATATACTTTAGAAGAAGTGGTGGTACTGGAAAATAGCACGAAATGAAAGGGACACTAAATGGCAAATTCGGTTCCATTATTAAAGTCAATAAATCAGTTCCATTATTAAACGCTAAATAGTAAATTGAACCCTCCTTTCATTAGGCGAGAATTGTAAGACGTAAATAATGCAATTGTTTGAGAACTCTGACTCATCAGACTTGACATAATCAGAAATGCAACAATCCCCGGATGATTTGAATTCTCTTTTCTTATGATATTGATGTCATCGTTTACTTTACTTTTGGCCTAATTATCGTAGTTCTGAAAGAATCACATGTGAATGCCATAAACTACCATGGCAACTAACCGAATAAAGGTACGTGTACAACCGGATCTCTTCTGATGGTTTATGCCCACCAGAAAACGTACTCGCATTTTCTTTGAATGCACTAATATTAAGAAAATGTCAACTTCCCCAGATTTCCGGGAACCACAAGAACAACAAAATTCTCCTAAACTTACAAAGGAAGAGACGGAAACTGTCATAAAAGCCCGTAGACAACTTAATACTCATTGTGAGTAGTTTGAAAGATCCCTACTGTTTTTATGATCTGGCCGTTGTAAGTGGGTTATTGATCTGTGATTACGTGTTAGCTATTGTTGGGTTAGCAATTGGAAGCGCGGTAGGCTACTATTATGGTAAGTGTTTGTTACTCTTGTATTATGTCTGGATCGCGATAGAAATGTTGCAAATGACAAGAGGTGAACCATTATTACCGTTTTGAAAATATCTAGCCGTGCGTCGGCGATCCTCTCTCGGGCGAGGGCTTTTATTCGTTGCAGGTGTATAGAAATTTCCATATTTATCTTCAGTTTTCATATTCATAGTCAATTTGCCTTGAATTCTAACCTTTTAATGTTGACTTTTCACAATAATTATTTGGTCTATCGAATCTCTCCGATGCTACTTGCCAACATCACGCTACCTTTTCACGATATTTCAAACTCGAGGTGGAGCGTTCATAGGGAACAATCTCGGCGCAATATCTGGTCTATTGGCTTCCTTACGCACACTTCGGACACTACCTGATCCTAATCGCGTTCTTGCGATGATCAAAGAAGCGCAGTTGCGTTTGGTTTCCGTTAGTTCATTTTTCTTTACTGTTAATTTTTCTTTTCCTTTATTTTCTTTTTCTTTCTATGGTGTGATGGGCTTTTAGTCTTGTGCAGAAAGAATAGTTTCTTATTCACGGATGTTGACACACTCATATTTCGTTTGCTGCATAACATTGATGTATGAACTCTGTTTAACTATCATTTTGGTTTTGTTGGACGATGTAGAACTGGCATAGGCTTCCCGCAGAAGGATGGTCGCAAAAGCCAGACGCAGCAGCAAGAAGACACGGAAGAGTTGATGACAGGATCCGAGGAATATGAAGTTGATGAAGCGACCGGTGAATTGATAAGAAAGACATATGATGGTGTGGAATTGGGCAAAAATAATAGTCGAGGTAAGTTATGATTGAGATTCGATGGTGCTCATCAATATCGATATGGGTGTGTATTCTGATCTGACATTTACTAACGTTATATGTACAAATATCATTATTCTTACCATTCTGAATTTTCAATCATTGATGTAATTCTCCTGCGCATTTGACTATAATTCCTCATCGCATAAACGAAACATAATAATAATGCAAATCAAGATTCAAAGCCCATGTCAACGTGGGAGAGGATTCGTGAACAAGCACGACTCAAACAACAAGAACGACAAAATCAGTTGTCTAAGCCTCAATCTGAACCTTCGTCTGAAGATTCCTATCAGCATGGCGGAGGGGTGCTTTTATCTCGCGAGAATAATGACGGGTTTGGCTCTGGTATGGATGATAGCTACAGTAATAGCGATAGTAACACTGGTGATGCGGACGGAGCTAAAGTATCGAGAGTATTTAATCCACCGCGTACTAGAGAGGAGTTGGAAGACATAGAAAGAAAGGGAGGGATTAGAACTAATCAGTATGGAGATCCGATATAGTGATGTGGTTTGCACAAAAAGGGAACAGACGAGTCACGTAGAATTTGACATGCTGAACGTGAATGTATATCTTGTATATGTTGTTTGCAAGTATGTGTTGATGAAGTATGTGTTGATGTATGGGATAACACATTCGTATTGATAATAATTACCTTTGATCATTTAGTGATAATTGTCCACTGTCTATATAATACATATAATCTGTATACGTTATTAATTGTCTGATCATTTCCCCTCGCTCTTCCCCCCCCCCCCCCCTTCCCCTTTTTTTTTTCTCATGACTTCTCTGCTATCGCTATATCGCCCTTATTGCATCATTGGAAATTCGAATAAGCTCATGACACAAAGTTCACTCAGTTAGCATGCACATATAGACAGCTTATTATTGGGCTTGGGAAATACGGGGCTTAGGTCATGCAGCGAACTTTAAGGCAAAAAAAAGAAAAAAGAATTATGGTGATCAAATTGAATGGATAATTTATATACTTTATGTAATTCCACTATACTGGATTAGTTGATATATCGCGTGCAAGTTTATTATCTAGATAGCAAAGAGGCGCCTGCATGAATGTGTCTCGTGCGGTTGTTTCCGATTCGACAGGTGGCTGTAGCCATGCATGGCACTTATTTGTACTATAAGAGAGGTGCTTAGATGGGAAGAACGGAAAATACGTAGAGAACGTGAGATACATGAGATGGTCACAAGCCGGCTTTTGAGAATTATATAATCAGGTTGTCATCCAGTTTACGACGAATCATGATAATGGAGTAAGCTTTGTCCTTGATAGATAGAGGTGATAGCGAATGCCATTCTGCGTGTAATTTTCGTTTCATGTGGGAGAGTGAGGGGGAGGGGGCTCGTTCGCTTACATATCATATTACAATAGATCAATATAATTTATACATTTATCCGGGTACCGCGTAACAATCGTTTGTTCTACTAAATGCACGACTGCATCAAATTGCGATACTCTAGGCGCCAAACCGGCTTTATACCTTATTAGTAGAATAACATTATCAAGGACGATAGTAAAATGAAAGGATAATAGTTGATTCCTGTGTCAAATGAAAGAATCTCCCTTGCCTTTGACAAAGACAGTGGGCCTTGAGAAAAAACGATTTTCTTATTTAATGTTTTGATTGGGTATGTTTATAGAATGCTTTGTCTCTGGCTAATGAAAAAAGTTCACAAGGCGTTCGCCGCGTTCCAGTACAACTTGTGAAGACGAATAAAAGGACTAGGATTGCAAAATCTTTTAAACTAACGAAACGAATAAGGGTAGCAAACACTTGTTTCATAAAGATAAAAGTAGACAATATCTATTATTCGGTAACATGTTTTCTAAATATGGTCAAATTACATATTTAGTAAATCATATCATTAACCATGTCAATAGCTGTCATCTTGACAAAAATATCATTCAATCATATCTTGTCTTTAATTTCTAATGTCGCATCTTTGAATCCATCAAATCAATATTTACGTTACTATATTTCACTACATTGTACCGCGTGGGCGTTATAAATTGGCATCAATTAAAAAAAGCATTTTGTGTCGATTAAGAAAGGACGGTTATTAAAGTTTAAGATTACAGATTTTCTGTTTTCTCATTATGTTCTGTAGCACGCTGCATATTTATATCACACAACAATGAATAACAAACAACGGAAGTGCGAATTAGAAATAATAGCATAAAGAATCAACAACGAAGGTGGGTTGATTAAAATCAAAAGTAAGAATAAGATGGTAATATGATGTTTGAAAGTCTTGGCTATTTACGGTTATTATTATCACAAAAATGAAAAGTGATAATTGGAGAGTCGATAATCATCCGTTAGAGCTGTGGTACCTAATTACGCTGCGTTTAAAGACTACATTGTCGTACCCACTTTGTTTCCTCGTCATTTGCTTGGCCCAGTTCAACATGACTAACATTATTTCCTCATGCTGTCATCTGATGACGAAAGGTCTGAGCTATATTACAAAATCAAAATGTTACGGATTGTGCTACATGGGGACACGATCCATGTCATCTCCGATGTAATTAGCCGAGACTCTCGAGCCCGTTTATTAATATTGTAATGATTACCTCACTACTGTTCATTCTCACCAACTCCCATTTACCAATTCACATTCTTTGTTCGTTAAACCTTTGACATTGTAATCAAGCTGATTTTATGTAGCAACTGCCGTATTTGGATATTCCCGAGCCTAAGATCTACATAAGAACAATAGCAAGAGCTGTAGGGTGATGTACGCATGAATATTATTGGAGGAGAATGACAAACAGATATCACCATGAACCAATGTATTGTGCTCGAGCTAACAATGCTTGGTCGCACACTTTCAAGGGCCATGACCAAACAGAATGACTCTATGAAAGATATATACACATTAACAATCTGAATAACAATACTTTACATCAAAGGCTCTTTTATTTTTCCTTTTTTCTCTGCATTTATCGACCATTAATTACACACCATTGTTATTTCCTGATACGGAATTTGGTAAAAGTCCGAATGGGAATATCTCTTTGAATGGGAATATCTCTTCGAATAGCTATACTGATATCTGAAAGATCGACAAGAAAGAACCACGCTCGGGGGGGTGGATGTAACTACTGTAGTTTGACAAAAAAAAAATCCCACGGGGTTTTCGATATTGAATGGCGCAGAGGAATGTAAGACATACAATAGAAAGGGGGATAATTGATAAGCATTTACGGTAACGGACAAGCGCATGAGAATTGCATGACAATACTGAGATGCGAGTGATAATGACATTGATGATTGACATTGGATAACGGGCATGTAACGAATATCATCATAATCGTCATCATAATCGTTCAATTCCTATTGTTAATGAATATGCGATAAGGATATAAAAATAGAATAAATAGAATGCAAGCATTATAACAAGTCATTTAAACAAAAAAAGAAGTTGAAAGAACAAGCGATCCATTATGTGTGTTCTCAATATGTAATGATCGTCCCACATGTGAAGAAATGTTGGCATTCACAATGGAGACATAAAAGTGATGTGAATGGTGTGTATAATGCATACAATACGCATGATATTAAGCAGAAGGCGCACTACCCAAGCCCGAACCCATCGTCGTCGAACTGTTTGTTTACGCCCATTATCTTGGAGGTAGCACAATCCCACACTCTCACACTGTTTCCCTCGTAATTTTCTTATATAATCCATTCGTGTAACAGCCTGTCAAAATGTAACAATACAAAAACAATAACATTAATTATATGCGACTAATAAGGTTTGTCGTCCGTGGAACAAGAGAAGCACTTGAACAAACAGCTCATTGTTCCTCCTCCCGCTCATCTCACGGCAAGGTTTTTTTTTTTTTCGTAAAAATAGACTTACAATGGACTACATGAGCAAACCCATAACTACAATACCTGCAACTTTAGGTATTCTTCAGTCCATGCTTATCTACAAAGGATTAACAGAAAGTTTATCTATGAAGTGAGCAATGCTTAATTTCGGGATATTGTTCCAAGGACGGATGCGGAAAGGCGGGAACAATTTGATAGATTTACGAATTGTGACTTTGCACCGTTGTTTCTGTAATGATTGACCCCCCACCTTCCAATTGAATGTTTCGTTGATCAAACTTGTAGAGTCTGCTGACAGCCTTTCAATTTTTTGGGGGGGAGGGGATGAAAAGAATGGGGGGACGAGAAGAGGGTAAAGGAAAACAAATGATACAGAATATCGAGTATATTGAATTGAGGGTGAACTGGAAGGGAGGGGTTGAAATTGAAAGGAGGGTGAAATGTTTCGTCAGATCGCTTATTGTTTGTATTTAATATTAAATATTTACCAAATACAACGTTTCATACAGTATTGATTATCCCATCCTGATAATCTAAACATGACCAACCAATTACCCAGTTCTTTTCTGATCCATAGTACATTGTGAACAAGCCATGAAACTAAACATTTACATGAACTTAATTTGCGTTGCAAGACGATCCAATGAGCTTGGTTTCTATCCTTATCATGCCCAGCCGGATATTCGTTTTGCTCGGTTTATTCCCTCATCCCCTCTCGCTTATTGTTTACAATCTTTTATTCTTCTTGGTCTTGTGTCTTGTAGTTCTTGTGTTCATTATCTGTAAATTAATCATTTCTTTTTTCTTTTTTTTTTTTTTTTACGACGGACACTTACGGGTTTCACTATCAAATGCATGTTTACCGTAATTAGAAATCGAGAATATGGAAATCGGAAATTTTAAACGAAATAATGGTAAAGGAGGTTCGAGGGTTTAAGGGTAAATTAAAATTAAATTAAACTGAGGAGTGGGGGAACGGGGAGATGAAGGGTACGTTATGTTATGTTATATTATGTTATGTTATGTGTTATGTTACTTTTACTGCATGTTATTGTATGTTATGTTATGTTATTGTATGTTATGTTATGTTACTGTATGTTACTGTATCTTATTGTATGTTATGTGACTGTATGTTACTGTATCTTATTGTATGTTATTGTTGCTTATTGTTCTTTCGTATTCGCTGCGGCCTATCATATTATCAGTGTGGCTGGCAGATGCATAAGCCGAATGAGCGATCCGGAATTTAGCTTCGGCAGTTACTAAGCACTTTGCGCATAAATCACCAGTAGCATAGCATACAGTGGAATCTGTTTATTTCTCGCATAGTGGTTGGTTTTACGAAGCAGCCATACTCGTAGGTGACCCTGGCAAACATCATGGAACAAGAGAATGAGAGGAAAACATAACGAACATTGCTGCAGACTTATACAAATGATCGCTATTGTATAATATCAATGTATGCATAACAAAAATGTATACTATCTTTTTCTCGCAGCATCAGTTATTGATTGTACTCGTTCAACTCGAATATGATTTGATGTTTTCAAATATGTTTGCTTTTTTTTTTATTTACGATCGAATCAACATTCAGTTGGAATTACATTAACTCATATTTGCTCACAAAACTGCTGAATCAATTTGAA